CAACTTGGGCCAGTGAAGCAATGTCCTCCACAACTAGACTGAAGAACAAAAGGACAGCAACTTGTCTGTTCCCCTTCCCCAATTCCCCAGCGCCGTTCCCATCCCCCCAATGCCCCAATAAAAATCTTTAAAAAAAAAAGAAATGAGGCAGCTCTTCTGATACAGCTTTCTCTCTGCCTGAGATGATCCTCTTCCCCCCGAGATTCATCGGGCACGTGTTCAAATGACACTTGATCAGCAAGGGTGTGCCTGCAATCTTACATACGACAACTTGCTCCCATCCCAAATCACCCCCTTCCCCTTCCCCTGCTGCTCCATTTTTAACCACCTGACACAGATACACTTCAGCTGTTCACTTGCTGTCTGTCCCCCTCTCCGAACCCCGTGCCCCAGGAAAGACCAGCTCTGAGGGCAGAGGCTTTGGGTGGCCCCTGCTGTGAATCCCGGTGCCTAGAGCAGTACGTAACTGGCACTTAGTACAGAGTTCAGCAAATAGTGAATGAATAGATGACAGATGGGTGGACCGAAAACAAATGGATGGATAAGGAAAAATCTCAAAGATACAAAGGTAATAATAGTTTGTCTCTTTTGCTATCATTTGTCTTTTAAAAAGGAAAAAAAAATCACATGTGTGTGTGTATGTGTCTGGAAGACATTTGGAAGGATACACAAAACTTGAAACACTGGCTGCTTCTGGGCAGGGAAACGGGACGAGGTGCAGGGGGGAGGTCCACTTCTGTCACTTTTAAAAGCTGAACCAACTCTATGTAATCCATTCAGAAAAGCCAATAAAAATTATAAGTTCACATACACACATGCATTGCAGGCTGATGTGGGGAAATTAAGCAATATATTCTTAGGTGGAAAAAAGGCTACAAAATAACAAATAATATGAAATACGAGACTTACAAAAGCTTAGAAGGATTACCGTCTTTTTTTTTTTTAACAGATTGTTTTTTGTTTTGTTTTTTTTTAAAGATTTTTATTGGGGAGTTGGGGGGATGGGAACAGTGCTGGGGAATTGGGGGAAGGGGAACAGTCAAGTTGCTGTCCTTCTGTTCTTCAGTCTAGTTGTGGAGGACGTTGCTTCACTGGCCCAAGTTGGCACCATCATTGCGCTCTTCCTGGGCGAGGCAGANTCTTATACGGCGAGTATATAACAAACTCTGTATTTTGAGTGGAAATGTTAGGGGGTCGTCTTATACGCCCAGTCGTCTTATACGCCGGCAAATAAGGTAGCCAGAATGCCACCTTACTAAGTTACAATGAGAACTGTGACTTGAAAGAAAACCAAACTCTCAGTGTCTGCAGATGGTAAAACCTACAAGGAAGCCAAGTCACCAGAATGTTGCTTGGTGAGCACTGAGGTAGTTAGATGCCTCGAGTCATAAAACCTGAGACTATGGTCATATAAAGACCGGTCATCCTGGGTTTTCTGGGAATATGACTGTCCCTGCCAGGAGGGTGGTGTCTACTCTCTGGCTGCCTCGTTTTCAAGGCTCTGTGTAGATGCCTTTCCAATAGCACTTACCTCCAAAATCAGTGTCATCTGTGTAGCTTCCTTTTATTACACTCACACCTGGTTTTGAGATTCAAGAAACACACAGGTGTGTCAGGCCTGAAAGTAATTTCCTCTCGTTACCACGTTACAACCATGTTAACAAACCAGGCTTAGCTTTATAACGACTCTTTGACCTTCCATTCCAGACACTGACGCTTTTAAATTTTTATCCCAAACTCTGCGTATGAAAGAAACCCTTTCAGAATAGCCAGACTTCACTTTCCTCAGCTGGGGAAACTGAAGATGTTAATCCAGGTTAGGGATTGGGGTGGGCGGTTTCTAGAAGAGGATTAGCTGTTCCTGAGAAAAGGGAGGGAGTGGGGGGTGTCAATCTTTATTCAGCAGCTCTACCCTCATCTAATTTATATATTGAAATTTGGTGAAAGTTTTTATGTGAAAAAGGTTCTGCTGCTTTTTAAAAGTTTGCAAACCACTGTCTAAATGGCCTTCCAAGGTCTCTTCCAAGAGTTAAATTATGTTTTTAATTTTTAAAATTCTTTCATTACAAATATTTGGAACAGGCCTTACTACGTGACAAGAGTCTGCTAGGAAAGGTGGTTACAAGAGTGAACAGTGTGCTAATAAAGAGACTGCCCTCGGGGGACCTACTAACTGCTTGGGTTTTGTTAAAGAAATTGAAGAGTGATAAGAATATATGTCCACAGGCAGAGTCACCAAAAAAATTCTAATTTACATTTCCTCAAGTGTTAAAATAAAACCACTAGGTTCCTGGAACTCAGCTGGTGCACGGTTCCTCTATGGACGTTGTTCAAGCACCCCTTCTCCTCTGCCCAATACTCCGAAGACACAGGCTGAATAATGCAGACAAAACCAGTTGTAAATTGAAAAATCAAAGTGGATTTTATTAAAATATACATAAATAACCCTCATTTTTCTGAAATTCATCAGTGTGGGGACTTTAAGTGAAAAGTAAATGAAAAGTAGTAGCACTAGCGTAGAGAAATGAAGGCGGGAAGGCAGTCAGGGAAACTGTGTCCCAGCCCCAGTCCGCCCCTGAGCAGCCTGAGAAAGGCATTTAGCGCCCTGTCTTCAGCTACAGAAAGGTGGTTGACTTATAGGTTGTCTGCAGTCAACTGCAGCTCTAAATTCTACTGTCCTAATTCTATGATCAGGAGCAAATGCTATACGTAGTATCTATATACAGCAAGTACTCACAATCAAACCTCATAGGAATACTTTTAAGGAAGACAAGAGATATACAGAAATTTGCTGCTTAAAAAGAATGCATTGATGTGACTGTTTCATTCACATTAATTAGAATATATACACACAAAAATGTGTATCATATGTTGCTTTCAAAAAACCATATGTTCCATGAGAACTATTTAAACAGTGTAAAATGTTTCTACTGCATAACAAAAGAGAAGTCAGCATTCCCATGTAATATTAGGAAAATATTTAAGATAATTTGAAGTTATAGTAAAACGAAATGAAATATCACAGAAGTCTTTTCATGAAGTAGGTTCATAGTCTAGAAAGCAATATATTTCATACTTTCAAACACTTTGGTGTAAGTGAAATTATTACAAAGCAAAAAGACTCTCGTTTGGCTCTTACATTAGCTGAACTTGAGCGATGAGAGGACCGCACAGCGAGCGACCTTAGTAACACAATGGAGACCCTCCCACTGGCTCCCCTGTCCCAGTGGCGGTGGGCGTGTGGGGAGAGCGTGGCACAGGACGTCTGTGCAGTTGGGAGCATTTCACTTCCTTCCACAACTACGCTCCCAGCAACAGCTTGAAAGGCTTCATAAAAACCTCGGATTCAAGTTGGAATATAAGGGGTCTTGGTTATTTCATCTTAACAAATACAAATGACCCGACATTAAAGCAGCTCAGAACCACAATTCACATTTGAAGTAGAACATGAATTTTTGCAAAGTCATATTACTGCAGTTTCTCAAGAAGTCCATACTTGAATAAAAGAACATACTATATTTTTTTAAATGCAAATTTAATAGCCCTGACAAGATGCTCTTTAAGAAACAGAACAACCGCCTACATGCTACCAACACCTCTTCATTGACATCACACGTTACTCTGACAACTGGAAAACTACACTGATCTAAGGAATTTTTTACTGCATCACTCTGATAATTACATTTTCTCATCTCTACTGTCTAAATGTGGTACTGATCGTTTTCATTGTCTCTTTTGTTCTGTATATTTTCTTTAAGGAATCCCTACATCTGAGAATTAGAACTGAGCAATTGTCGATGCATCACTTTTCTGTCATCCGTCACAGGAGCAAACTGGGAATGTCCTCTGAGGAGTTTCTCGGCAATGTAATTTATTCTGCGACTTTCTGGAAAGTCTTTGAAAGAAAAAAAAAGAATCCTTGGTGAACTTCACAAACTTACAGTAATAATATAATAATGCATTGTTGTTCCTTTCCGAAGCAAAAGAACACACTGTAAAATGCTGAACTTTACTAAACACACACTGTAAAGTGCCTGCAAAGAACAAACCCTGGGAGCACAAGCCCTCAGGCCCAGAAGGATGAAAGCGCAGCAGGGGGCACTCTGTGAGAGTAACTAGCAAGATAATCTTCATAACAAAACAAGTATACAAAGTAGAAAAAAAGTTTGGTCAGGTTATTCTGAGGCTTTTTTTAAGAACAATTCTAAAAAGGACTAAATGAGATAAACATAAAAAAATTATTCAGCCAAAATGATCTATGCTAAACAAACCATGTATAGAAGAATTCTTAATATTTTAAATGATTTTATAGTATTAGTACAGTATTAGGAACTTAAGTTCTTGCCTAAATTTTACAACAAAGTATAAAAAGAAATAAAACAATGAACAGTGAACAAATTAAGTGCAAAATAAAAGGTTCTTAGTTTTTTATACTAGACCAGGGGTCGGCAAACTTTTGGGATGGAAGAGCTAATTCTGTCCCCCACAACAATTTAAAAATTATTCGAGAGCCATAAAACAAGTGAAATCACCATTATGTGAATAATATCCTTTAAAATTTTTATAAATGAAACTAGGATAGTTTTATTTTTATTTACAATTTTACTTCAGAGCCACATGTACGTACCCGAGAAGCCGCATATGGCTTGCGAGCTGCAGTTTGCCAATCCCTGTACTAGACGATATTAAAATCCTAGGCTACATATGTTTGTATTTTGTTTGTTTTGTGGAGAGAGACTATCAGGGAACTTAAATCATTTCACAATTCATTTGGAATAATCACCAAGGCTGTGGTATAATAAGAACTTGCACTGCCAGACAGTAAAAACTATAAACATAGTTACATGAATAAAACACCGTATTTCACAGAATCTAACACACAAACAACTGTAAGACAGACCATTATTTTCTGTACCATGCAAAAAAGAAAAGATGCCCAGGATACGGAGTCTACACGGAGACAGAAAGCCTCACATTTAGTGGGGACACCGAATGGCGAGTCCTTCCCTTAGACGGGCCGGCTACGAAGCCTGACTTGACGATGGGAAGAGAAGAGGGGAAAAATTCCTTGGTGTGTGAACTGGAACACCCACCCCGTTCTGCCTGCAAATTCTGTGGTCTGATTTCACAGTCCTTGCCCAGTACAAGAAAGCCTGAGACACTGGCTTGAGCAGACTTGGGTTGGCAGTGCCCCCCAGTGGCTGGCAGAAGAAACGCAAACCACCTCGGGAAGAACTCAGCTTTCATCCAGCAACAGCTGACACACTAGGTACATTACAAATTTAATGATGCTTAAGTGTGGAAAATATATAATTTGAAATCAGTGAAATATGGTAGCAGATAAATAAGTCAATATGTCAGAAAGCCTAGAGAACAAATACTGGGCATACAATAAAACATGTCAAACAATAGTATATTATAAAAACATCAAACCAAGGATGAAAGAGTACATTATTCAAAATACTGCACAGGCAAAAAGATTATTTAAATAAATGTAATTATCTAAATAATCATTAATCTTAAAAGACTAGCCTACATAGTTTAAAAACATGCTCTCAAGCCATCCTGCCCCCAAAAAGCATCCAAAGCACAAGCAAAAATATAAGGCTAAAGAGACAAACGGGAGGAAAATATTTGCTATGACAAAAGGCTACTATCCTTAAATATCATAATTATAAACCAATAAGAAACAAAAATACCCTACCCCACACCTCCAGAAAAACGAGCAAAGGCAAGAACAGGCAGCTGACAAAAGAAACACAAACAGCCAGTTAAATACCCCAAAAATGGGGGGAGGGAGTGGTCACTTTGTGAGGGATGAAAAGGATGACTATTGCATTGTTTTGTACACCTGAAACTAATAATAATAAAATCAATCAATCAATCAATACAGCAAAAAAGCTCAATCTCACTAGTAATGTACAACTGGTCAAATTAAAAAAAAAACTATAATACTCACTGCTGGCAAGGGTATCAGGGAAAACCAGCACATATACTGGTGATAGGTATGAAAACTGAGCTAATCTTTCTGAAATGTAATTTAGCAGTAAGTAGAGAACAAAAGCCTTTTAAAATGTGCAATATTCTTAGATCTAACAATGCTGCTTCTAGGAATTTATCCCAAGCAAACATTCAGAAATGTACAAAAAGTATATACAACTACATGTCAGAATTATTTATAATAGTGAAAAGTTGGAAGATCCCCTAAATACCCAACAATGGTAGATAAATTAACTATTTTAATAAATAGGACTATAGAATGGAATGCAATGCAACTACTAATATCATGCATCACTGAGCACTATTTATACTAGCAAAAGATCAGAATAACCTAAATACCTATCAGCAAGGAACTGGTTTAACAAATTATGGTGTAACAGTCAATGGAATACTCCACCATTATTAAAAAGAAATGAGGGCC